TGAACTGAAATCAGTGTGGAGGGAGGGTTGCTGTTTGGGGAACCTCATGCAGAGGTCTCTGGTCTGTTTCTGAAATTTAATAGCATCATGATGCTTCCTTTTCCTGTATCAGTATTGCAAAGTATCCAAGTATTTCATGATACAAGGAACATCTGCAGATGCTGAACTCTTTTGGAACTTAATCGTATATCATTCACATAAGATCGTGTTAGACCTTGCTGTCACACTGGTGAATAATTTAGCAATTACTATTTATTAGTATGGGAACAGTTTATACTGAATTCTGCCTAAAATCTGAATAAGGTACTTGGATAACTAACTTCATCTTTGAGAAATATAGATTGTCTGTTAGCTGCAGATGACATGGTTTTATAGATGTGCAATAAAAAAAGGAAGGCTTTTTAAAAGGTCCAAGTGTTAAATGCCAGTTAAGAAGAATACTGACAGTATGCTGATGTTCCTGTATTGATGGTGCCTGGTTTATGTCAGAAATGTGTATTAATAATTTGAACAGGCCCTAAATACTTGTCAGATACTCCCAGGAAAATTTTGTTGATCAGAATCGGTCAGTGGTATCTTTTGAGGATTTTTTTTCCTTACTGAACTTGATCACGCTTGTGGCTTCAACAGATTTCCAGCACAACTGACTTCCAGCATTCTTTCCATAGGGCTTGATGTTGAAGCTTTCTCCTTTTCTCTAGGCTCTGATGTTCCACTTTTAGCTCTTGGGCTTCTTCCTTACCCAGCCCCTGCCCCGGTGTCATGCAGTAGACACATTTTAAAAAATTGAAGATGTAAGCATTGAGAACATAATCTTAATTTTGTTTAAATGAATCCCAGGTGTTACCAAAACCAACAGTTTTGTACCAAGGTCTTTGCAACGAGAGAAGACACTACCTGGCAAGGGGAATGTTGAAACTGTCAAGTGCTGAGAAGTCCACAAGCAGGATTATATGGAAGTACAGTAGCAGGGAAGACTAAAACTTAAACAAATTATGTTCTTGTAATAAAGCTTGAAGTTGGGGTTTTTTTTCAGCTACATAGTAGTGAAGTCAGTTGAAATGCCTATTTTTCTTACTCTGGACCATCAGAACCACCACCGTTTCTGGCGAGGCAGCATACTGATGTGCAGCCCTGTATTAATACAACATGGCCTGCCCAGGTAGAATCTGACAGTAGTGTTAAATTGCTGGCAGGGGTTTGAATTTAGTGTTGGACAAGATCTTGTCAAGAGACAGCAAAACCAACTTCCAAATTGCAGTATTGTTATTAAAGATGATTGTACATGCTCACCATGAGACTGGTTGGTGCATCTCATTTGGATTTAACTTCTTCACTACAGCTCTGTTACAGTCACAGACCATCTTAAACAACTGAAAACTATTAAAACATTTAAGTTGATCAAGGAAGCCTCGTTGCTATGCTTAAGACCGATTTGATGTGATACCTATCCTCAATGTGGGACTGTGATACTACATTTTATTCAGCCTTCACATGAAAATGATTTATGAAAAAACATGTCACTTCAGTACATTCAGAGGTACTCGGGGCAGGGAGTGAGGAATGGACTTGGCTGCTACAACTGCAGTCTCTCTTTGAGTAGCCAGTTGTGATTTTTTTTTTTCTTAGATGGCTTCTCAGAAGTGAGTGTTAATGTCTGAGGGCCATAATGAGATGTTCTTCAGCCATATAATTGCCAGTCTGTGTATTAAATTCTATCTTCAGTATGTGAAAAACATAGCTCTTCTCTCAATACAAGACCTTTTTAAAGTGGCAAATGCTTTAGGGAGGTGTAGTCTGTAAAAGCATCCCTTTAACCTGATGTTGCAACTAGTGATACATTGAGTCCTATTTTGTAAGTAATGTTAGTGAGCCATTAAGATCCCTGATTCTGTTGATATTTAGTAGTGGAAGGGGTTTTGTCTCTTTGGAAAAAGATGGAATGATACAAAAAATAGATTGGAATCTGTGAATGGCAGTTCCTTAATCCTATATTACAGCTGCTTCTACTTAAAGTCTTCTCTTGCTCTATATCGTTGTATCCTTGTTACTAGTATTTTTTACCTTGACAGCTACTTCCTAGATGCTGTGTTAACCTCTATGCAGAGGCACTTGATACTTACCTGAAAGTGATAAAATGATGTCTAGCTTAATTGTATGGCAAAGTCTACAAGTAGATTGTATCTTTGAGTTAATGTTGAAAAAGGGAATAAACCAGGATGAGATGTTTGCCAGAGGAGGTAACATCCTTCTGGGAACATCTGGTAGTAGAAGTTCTGGATAACATTTTGGCCTTGCCAAAATCTCCCTTTGAGGTTTCAGGCACGTAAACATGCGTGATTTGGCTTTAGTTTTTGCAGGAAATTACTGCCATAAAAGGGTGATCGGGAGCCTCGCATTAAGCGCAACAGATAAGGCTGCTTAAAAAAAAAAAACCAACCACAAAACCACACCAAAACCCAGCATATTAGCTTGAGCTTTTAATGTACCAAAGACTTAATGCAATGGGACAGATACTAATGAACCCTTATCAGCTATATTTGTCCTGATTAGTTCAAAACCTGAGAATACATATGGAGTCATCAGGTTTCTCAACTACGAAATTCCCATCTGTACTATAAAATGAGATGGTATCAATGGCATCAAACTCTGTTTTCCTGTAAGCAAGATACAGGTGGAGCATGGTGTGCTCATTCAAGTTTTGGACAGGCGGAAGTTTAAAATCAGTCCGTTTGTGAAGTTTGCATGCTTTGAAGCCCTGGGCTTGTCCATGCAACTAAATCTGTAGCCTTTCAGTATATCTATATATGTTGATGATGAGACTGAAATAACTTGCTTTGAGCAAAGTGCTTTTCTCGTATATTGGCATAAATACAGAACTTAAATGCACACATATTTGTGTATGTATTAGGAGGCAGCAGGTCTGGGAAGTCACCTTTTGACTAACCAACAAGGCTTGTCCCATAAGCAGTGAAATTGCTTAAAGTTGCATTTCATACTGATGGATTCTGTTTCTGTAGTCAGCCTCTATTTTGTCTAGTACCTAGCAGCTGACCAAGAAATGCTGTGGTTTGTGTCTAGTTTTGAGCTAACCTGTTCATTGACAAGTGCAAGTAGTATGGTGGTAATCCATCAGCAAGCCAAACAACTGTGAATGTTGAACTCGTGCTTCTCTCTTCCATCCATCTGTTGGCCTTTGGAAAATGTGATCTTGTTTGTCCTCCAAAAATCTCAAATTTGTCTACAATTATCCACATCCAATTCTTATTCTAGGCCTGAGACCAAACTCTATTATCCTTGTTCTGGCATTTTTATCCTATAGAGATGATTTCCTCAAGTATTTAATCTATTTTAAATGCACACCCTAATAGCTTCTGTTCTATGGTTAAGCATTGCTATATATTCGGAGTTTCACTCATTGCAAGACTTGTAGAATCATGGACAAATGTTCACTATTCTGTTACTCTTTTAGGCATACCTGAATAATTTTAGACAGCATGCTCAGAGCATCGTTCGGATTTTCTTACAATGCTTTAAAAATGATACTAAGCATTAAGAAAGAAAAGAATAGGTGAATGGGAGAACTTGGTCTTCCCCTAGAGGGGACTAACCTGGATTATTTCAGATAAAGATGTGGAAACTAGTTCTCTGTTTAAAATCCTCAAAGCTTTTTGTTGCTGCTGTTTAAATGTTAGCTGCCATAGTATAACTGTTTGCTTCTGGGAGCTCCCTGGCCATCCTGCCAGAAGGCAGCCAGGCAGAGCAGCCTGATCTAATATCAAGGTTAGCTTTCCTTTGTTTTGAGAGGTGATTTAGGTGACCCCCAAAGGTTCCTGTTGAACTAAATTATTCTGTGATTTAGTCTCCACTTAATGATGCTTAATTGCAAGTGTCTTGAGTTTCAGGTAACAAAGACTTAAACTGTCTGCAGTTAAGCCCTTTGCCACACAGACTGGAGGAGGACCTCTGTGCTGGAAGATTGATGGAATGGGAGTGATCTATGAGAGACAGTTGAAGTACTCGAGCACATAACTGAAATGACCTAGTTTCTCCTGAGAATAGGTGTCTATATTACAACAGGACAATATACCTTATTAACTGAAAATGATGCCAAGTTAAGCCTCTCTTCTTAAAGAAACTTAAATGACCTTAAGTAATTTTCATGCTTAGAGACACAAGCATGCCTTTAACTGGCTTAAATAATTTTTTTGAAGTGATCAATTGTAATGATCAGTAAACAATTCAAATTATTAAGCGCTTATGGATTTACTAACATCAGGTAGTGTCTTTCAAAAGAAGAAAAGGGATGCAGGTTCACATGTTGGGTTCCCCCCACCCCCTTGTATTCCCACAGTTTAACCGCATTGTTTGCCAGTTTACCTAGTGATAAGGTAAATGGTATCCTAAATCTAAAAGTAGCCCTTAGCTGTACTATTCCAGCTAGTAATTAGGTATTTTTTTAATATACAGGTAAATTCTCCCTCCCTGGATCTCTATACATAGAATTTTGAGGTTACAGTAGATCTATCCTACTTCATGGTTTATCTCTTCCTCCCAAAAGTCTTCTGTCTGAGATTCCTTACTCTGGGAGGCCACTAGGCCAGGGAAATGGGATGTTGAAAGGAGTGTCTTGACTCTTTAAGACTGACTCTTCTCAAAAGTTCTGTTGAGTCAAGATTTCTAACTTGGCTTTCTCTTTTAAGAATTTCTGAATTGAAGTAGACATTCCTAGTTGGCTTTCCTATTTCTGTCCAAAGGGAATTACTAACTTGTTATAAAGAGGAGATCACGAGGTAGAGCATTGGCTGTGTGTAAATGAAGACAGATAGTGTTATGAATGCTGAAGAAGGACAGTGTAATGTGAATAGTCATATGTGATTAGAGCTTGTCAGTGATCTGATTACCGTACCTTACTGAAAGAACTACTGTATTTGTAATGCTACTTAAGGTACTCTGTTTTTAAACGCATTTCAGTGATTGTATTCCACCTTTTTTCCAGAAATGTTACGAACAGAAGCAGTACAAAAATGGACTCAAGTTTTGCAAGATGATCCTCTCTAACCCGAAATTTGCTGAACATGGAGGTAACTGCATACTCAAAAGACTTTTTTCTTTTTCTCTTGTAATGAGCTTAAATGTATAGTCAGTCTACTCTGTACTGTTGGGAAAGAAAGGAGTCTCTTGCTGAGTATGATTCTGTCCTTATGACCGAATAATTACTCTGGATTTTCAGTTTTTGTGCATTCAGACCAAGTTTTCACCCTAGCTCAGTCAAACACTCCTGTGCGGTGGGATGGTGAAGATCAAAATATATGGTGGAAGCACACTTCAGTGAAGCTTCCAAGTTGCCTTTCTAGGTTTCTGGGTCAGAATACTAGTGTGGGGTTTTCTTACATTCCTATTTAATAGCAAACCCAGCCTTTTTTTTTAATATTACATGAAGGTATTCTGCCAGTGAATTAAAAATCTTGCGCTTTTTTGTCAAGTTCATACTCTAAATTTTCTGTACTGCATATCAAATTGCTACCTCCAAGGAGCGAAGTTAAGTGTAATACTGTTGCTGCTAAGACTTGAAGCTAAAGACAGAATCTGGACATCCTGTTCTGATAAATATTGCAGGAAACAGGACAACAAAATGTTGCTTCTATTTACATCTGTCAAACTTAATCCTCAGTAAGATACTCTGGTCTTACTGTATTGTGTGGTTTCAGTTGCATGGTTCAGCCAATCTTTCCTTTTGATACAGTGTATTTTTTTGTCTGCTGTTGAAGCAACCTAAGACTGAGTGTGCATGTAATGTTAGTAAAATTATTTTCCTATTTGACATTGTCAAATCTTGGCAAAATCCGTGACTAATCTTTTTCCTGCTTCTATCGGTGTCTGCCGTTTTTTCATTGTCTTCATTACTTCCCTAGAGATAAAAGTACAGTTTTCTTGTTGCTTCAGAGCTAGAGCGGCTTGTCCAGCTCTGACCTAATGCATTTGTCTCTGCTAGCTCTGTGTTTTTATAACTTCTCAGTATATATCTCTGTCTCTTCTACTCTTGCTGCTTCTTAAACTTTTCCAGGACAACTGGCTGCCTTGGCAGTCAACATACTACTTGGGCTCTGAGCCACTAATGGCTTTGAAGCTTGGGAGAGAAGCCTGGAATGAACAGCTGAAGCAGAACTAAGCCAATGAAATGATCTGATGGGAAGCTGTGCTGTTGTCGCACTTAGCTTCAGAGACAAGGAATTTGAAAAATTTAGTGAGAAGGTGACAAACAGATGGATTGCTGTGGCTGGACAGTTATCTCCCTGGTGTGGGAAGGTAGGAGTAGTTTGCCCTCCTTCCCGCAGTGGGGATAATCTTTTTTTGAGCTTCCTGATATTATTGGGAAGGTATCATTCTAGTTTTCTCTGTGCTTACAGTGTGGATGTAGGACAAGTTAAAAACAAACCAAAAAACCTTGGCTTATTTTGGGTCATCATTCCCTTTAGGTGTACTTTTACAGAAAACAGTGTTAAACAGGTCTATCAATGAAACTTCAAACTGCTGTTATGGCTGACCTTGAGATGATGGGCTGTGGCCATTAATATTGGGGAAACGGTTGCACTTGGAAGAAAACCAGAGTATGATGATAAAAAATGTGACTAATAATTTTTTGGCAGGTAAAACTAAGTAGTCTCTTAGCAAAAAAAAAAAAGAAATATGAATCTGGAACAGCTTTCAGGTGTAGTGCATGTATTACATGCAACTTTTTTCCCACAGTGTTACTTGAAGAATGGGGGAAGAAGGGGAGCAATAGTCATACCAATGTATTTGGAATCTTGTGCCTCTCAGAATGTTGACTAATATGCTACTACTTTGAGAAGGTCTCTTATCGCCAAAATACTGTAGCAGGAAACATGCTCCTTTCAACTAATTCTTTGAAAGCAACCTGTAATAGTAGAGCTGACCGTGACAGAGATGTGTTTCTTATGACACAACCTGATGCATTTTTCTTGTTCTGCCTACCTGGAACTTTAACACACACTGAGAAGCTCTCTAAAATTGCTTTAGCTTATTGTTAACTCCCGTAAAGCCAGTTAAATGTATTCTGTAATTAATGAAGCTTGTGTTGTCCATGTTCATCACATCTGTATGATGCTCTGCAGTGGTCTCTTTAAGATCAATTTTAAGAAAGGAAATGCTTCCATATAACAGTCTTCAGCTGTGCTAGGCTGCTATCTTGATCTAAATTTATCATTTAATGGGGAACTTCACTGTGTAACAACTTCAAAGGATATCTGCACTGTGAAACTGGCATATGGGAAGTCAGAAACATAAGTATATGATATTTCTTACAGAGACGCTTGCGATGAAAGGACTGACCTTGAACTGCTTAGGGAAGAAGGAAGAAGCATATGAATTTGTTCGTAAAGGACTTCGTAATGATGTAAAGAGTCATGTCTGTATCCTTTGTAATACAAAACCTGATCTTTTTGCCATGGATTATCACTTCTATGTGTATGTACGTACTTTTGAAGTACATAATGTGGTCTGTATGAAAAGTCTAAAATAAGGTGTGTACACTGAATATTAATTGATAATCAAATACTTGAAATAAGGTTTTATCTTCCTTTTTTACAGTTTTGCAGAATATTTAAGAAAAATGCCTTTTAGACTTATCTCGTAGAAAAAGGCCATCTGTGATCTTTACTTTCTGCAAAGAATACGTACAGCTTGTAAAATCTGGCCTTTTCTAAAGCTTTCTTTTTTCTTAAAAAGGTATAAGAAATCCAGTCTAGAAGTGCTATGAAAATATGTACTCTGCCACTAAATTTTATATAATGGTTTAGGTGTACTGGCTTGATGACTACTACGCTGTTCTAAGCTTGTCTTCCAAAAGTTTATACCTGTGAAATATTTAGCAGCTACCCAAGAGCTTTAGGAGTAGCTGTCTTCTGTTAAGCCACAGGTAGGAGGCTACTTCAGATTTGCACAGGATGCCTTACTTGTTTTGTATGCATTTGAATTCCATGTTAAGGGACAAATTTCTCATTAAATTATTAAAATTTTAACATTAAAAAATACCTTCCTTTAGCATCACAGTTGAAAGAAACACTTTGTCATGACCATCTAGTTAAGACAGAGGGATGGCTGTTTACACCATTCCTATATTAAACTTCCAGGGAGTTTGAGGGTGGAAATAAAGCTTTAAGCTTACGGAGGTTGTCAGAGTTTCTAGAGGTATGCCATAGAACAATCAACAATAATTTGTACTTTCTTGATCTTAAAGCTGAACACTCAGGAATACCAAAGCAACTTTATATGTAAGAAGTTTTGCACCCTAAATCAGGGAGCAAAAGAATCTGGGTGAGTTAGTGGAAAGTTTTTTGGGGGATTCAGATTCCTAAACAAAGTTCCAGAGTGGGATTTATCAGCATACCTAATTCTTGTCTGCAATTCATGCTGACTCTTAAAACTGTCTAGAAGACTTCCCTACAAATGCTGGAGGGATCTCTGCTTTTTCAGATCTAATTTGGGGGGTGGGGTGGTCAAATGGACCCTCTTTTTGCACAAGTTTATTAAAAAAAAAAAATATTTTTTAAATGAGTTTTAGTGGATTTTCACTGGTTTACTGACTCATTAAACTTACCTTACCTTGAGAACACTGCAAGGATTTTTGTTTTCTGAATTCAGAGAAACTCATCTGAGTCCTGTTAGGCACAAATTTTCTTTTTTTTTTTTTATTTAAGCTGCATCTGTACAACTAGCTCTGACAAAGCAAGAAGTTCCAACTTCTTGCCTTCAAGTGTGTTGTTACAGCTCTACAGAGAATCCCCTCGAGTAATCTGTCTATGCAGAATTACTTCTCTGGTGAGCACAAGCTAGTTGATACTGAATTAATTCCAGACTAGGCATCAGGTTTGTCACAGTACTTTCAGTTGTCATCTCTTGGTAAATTCTAAAGAAATAGCAAACCTCGTTCATTATTATTACACTTTAAGAGCACCCAGTGAGCTATCATAATGTTACTATGCAAATATCTGAATCTCCTGATGGTGGGGCTCCAGTACATGGGGAGAGTTAAGGCTAAGAGAATATGCTAGCCCATAAGAAACTAGTATCTGAGGCAGAGCATTTTAAAGGTTTTTTTCTACATCCTTTGCAAAGGCTTGTGACTAGCCATGAAGTTCTGATGCAAGTTTGAAGGCCTGTTCATTGTCAGTGTTACCTATGCAGAGCTTGAGAGGTTCTCTAAAATAATATTTAGTTTTCCTGTTTTATGTGAGCTTGTGCCTGTCAGTTGGTTTAAAAGGACAGTTGGGAATTAGCCACTGAAGTCGCCTCATTACAGTAGCTGTTTTTGAAGTGGTGCAATACATCTATATGCTCTTATTTTCTTGTGGTAGCATTTGAAGGTGCTTTTGGTGTCTCTTGTCAGCTGTGCTTTTAAGAAAGCACCTGGTAGAGGGTGTTTAATATACAGCTGGTCACTTCAATGTTCTGACTTGTTTAAGGAGGAGTAGGGGAGTAGAAGATTTTAATTCTTTTGCAGTTCTGAAAATTGAGGTTTTGGGGGGGAAATGGCTATTCTAAAATTGTTTAGAATTCCAGAAGTTTTCTGGTCAAACTACAAACAAATTCTGACCCACTTTTGGATATAAGTTGAGTAATGATCTGGTCACTTATTTCAAGAATAAATGTTTCAAATGGTGATATGTCATACTTAGGACACTGTAGGAACACATACAACACTGCCCAGAGCTGTCTACTGTAATAAATTGGTGGCACTGTGCTTTATTAGCTTGTATTAGCTCTTAAAATTTCTTGTGCTTGGTCTTGACTACTGTATGCACTTATTTCTGAATGGGTTTATGCTTTTCTTTACTTGATTTATGAAAGATTAAGCCAGGTTACCAGTTGGATCCAGGAATGGTAATGATGTCTGATAAATAACTCAAAGCATCATCTTAGTTGAAGTACACTGTTGAAGTGCACATAAATTCTTTTGTATCGAATTGTCTTTTTTTTAGGCGAGAATCTAAAATATCTGTAGTTCTGAGGCAGGTATGTGAAGGTACTACATTTAACTTTGATCCGTGTCCTGAATGCTTGAACTCAAGAAAGAAGTAGCAGTATTAGACCAACAGCTGTAACTATCCAAAATTGTTTTGTCCCTCTTTCCTGTTTAGTCTTAAATCATCATGGCAGCAATAGCAGCTCTGTTAGCAGTGTCAGAGATGCATATGGAGTTTTTATATGCTTCACCTAGCTGAAATTATCTTGGTGTTCCCATAGAAATGCAGAACAGAGTCTCTTGCTTGTGTATTACAAGTTTCCTTCAGACTATTAATTCTCACAAAAGTCTTTTCTTTTGGCTGCAGTCTTGCATCTTTTATTCTTGATACAAATTTGCTTTATATCTTCATATCTAGAACTTAGTTCAGGACATAAGTTCCCTCTCTCTTAGAAAGACTCACAGTTCTGTTTCTTTGATTAATTTGACAAGGTTAACCCATTTAATTTTTTATGTGCTTTCTCAACTTTTGAGATGCAAAGTTTAGAAATGATTTTATCTTTGGAGGGAACAGTTGTCTTCTATTTCAATTCAGTAGCATAAGAACTCTTAAATACTTCGGCTGTTGGCACTATGACTTATTTGTGCTGTTGTAATTGAAAGGTGAAGGATGCATGTACCTCTCCCCAAGATGTGCTGTGTTTTGCTGCTTCAGCGGCACATGGGAGAGCTTCTTGAGAGAACTTTTGAGCCACTTCTAATTTGCAAATCAAAGTAAGTTCAGATTTACTACTGTGGAAGATGTTGCCTCAATGAGTTACTAGTAACCTGGAGTAGCAAAAGGTAGATCATGTCAAGTAATCTTTCTTTTAATATTTGAGACTGATGCAAAACCACAATGTAATGAGTTGCAATGACACATGTTGGTTTCATGCTTTGAATTCAGAGTCTTCCCAGGATAAAAAAGGATGCTTGTGAGAGAAGTCTGATGAAATGACACACTACTGAAGGAAATCTGAGATGCTGAGAATGTGACAAAGACGTTTGATGCACCAAAATAAAGTGTAGCTTTATGTTTATCTCTTACTGTAAAATCTGGACACCATTTGAGGTTGCAGATAGGCAAGTGGGGAAAAGTAAAACTTGTATTGTTAGAACAAGACACTTTTAGGAGTAAAAATTCTTAGGGTAATTACAGTAGTATGTTTTAAACAAGACATCTCTAGGCCTAACTCTTCTTAGGCATTTTGTAGAGTTTAGATCATTTAGTTTGTGTAACGA